AAAATTTCCGATACAGTCTTGCGCGCTGGAGATAAATTTTTTTTCCCCCGTACAGTGTTGCAAGGGCTCGCTTTAAAGTCGTTTAGTTTGTTAATCAAAAGTTGGTTAAGTTTTACAGAATATGAAATAGATAATAAAACAAATTCCCAATTCCAGCTTCCAGATGCGCATATTCGAGTGGAGGACTACGTTATTCAAAATTTGATGTCTCTGTGTACCATTGTTTTTTTCACCATGCGAGAAACATACATACATTCATGCAGATTCTTCATTACTTGATTTCTTTAAATATAAGTACGTGTATCATTTCAAAGACGTTTATAGTTTTTCAATGCGCTGATCAAGTGGCTCGGGGGGGAGGAAAGTGTAGGTGCTGCTATTCGGAAATTTTGAAATTGTATACGATCGTAACCGTGAGCACTCTGTTGTTAATTTTTTTTATATTTTTATTTATTTATTTATTTTAATTTTTTTAGTAGTTAGTCCAAAGGCCTTTGTCCCTGAGGGACTATTGGACTATTGTTTTCGTTTTGCGACTTTGCGTGGAATCACTCTGAATCTCCGTTTCACTTTTCAAACTGTTGCCGCCAAAATATTATCGCCCTATATTATATTTGAAGAAATTAAATAATGAAGAATCTGCATAATTGTATGTATGTTTCTCGCATACTCATACAACAACGGTACTTAGGACCAGCCATCTAATTTTGACTGACGTAATCCTATTGCGAATATGGGCATCTGAAAGCCGAAATTTGGAATTTGTTTTATGATCGATTTCATATTTTGTAAAACTTTAACGAATTTTTATTAACAAACTCAAGGATTTCAAAGCGAGCAATGGCGACGTTGAACAGAAAAAAAAAAAAAAAAATCTGATGTGTACACCACATGACTTCCTTGTACGAAATATTAAATTATCCGCATTTGTTTCATGCATTTCTTTTGAACTTATTCGATTTAATTAAAGCTACTGCACCGACAGCGCATAAACCACAATAGAATAAAGGCATTCTTTAAAATTCACTCTATTTGTTTAACATAGCGACACTTTGGCACTAGGTTCACTTAACAGTATTATTATATTTCATTCATATTATAACTCAGAATGCACAAAATGTATATCATTTAAAGAATTATCTAATCGTTGCCACATGTTCTTTTCAAATACTATAATAAAGCTAGAACGATGTAAAAAAGAAATTAAGCGAACAAAAAAAAACAAAAAAAAGAAACAGTTTTTCACAGACGATTGAGTATTTCTCATTCAATTAATTCAGTTGTCACTTTGTGACAAGGCAAAAATACATAAAAACTCAAAATATCTATATTAAAAATTACGAACTAAATCTTAAATACTTATTTCCTCGAAAAAATTCCAGAAAGGATTATTTTTTCGTTTAAGTGCGAAGAACATAAAATTTAATAAATACAGGTAACACACAAAATGTAAAAAAAAAAAAAAAAGCCCCTTTGGACGTAATTTAAAATCTGAAACCTTTCAGATTTTTCTTTTCGTAATTGAGTATTACACAATTATTAGTAATTATTAATGTGCGTAATTATTTTAGTAATTTAGTGTTTAAAAAAATTACGAAACGCTTCTGTTTCGTATATGCTGACGACGATGTGGAAGTCGTAATATACCAGTAAAATTGCTTATTCCATGATTTTTATGGAGCAATCTGTTGTTTGAAGTGTGTCTGGTCTGCCGATAGTTTTAGTACTAAGCCGTAGAAGGGTTATAGACGAAATCATAGCGGACGAAAACTTCATGGAGAAAAATCTCAGGATGAAAGACATCGTGAAGAAAAGAAAGCAGAGAGAGAAAGCGTAACAGTTCTAAAACGTAGAAAATAAGTTTAAAATTGTTGCAGTGTTAAAACATCGTTGTGTAAAATATGAAAGCACTTACAAATATCGTATGATGATAATAGTGTAGATAATCTTATAGTTAATTAAACAGTTTTAATAGAGGCAAGCTCGTGCAATTATTCATCTTTTTAAAAAAATATCTTTAAATTCCTACTACTAGCTCACACTCTCCCTATATCTTGTTCAAATTTCCAATCGTTTATAAAATACTTTTTATTCTTCCACTCAAGTTCAAATACATTTTTTAAACTTGTAGTGGATGACACTTGATGTTAATATAATTTTTTCACGTATTAGAATTTTTTTTAAATTGTTAATTATTTTTTTTTCTTTTTTTCTATTTAAAAAAATTTTTTTGGTTGACCCAAGTAGGAATTGACTTTGAATTTTTTTCTTTAATTAATTATTAATTAATTTTCAGTCATTAGTTAAATACTTTTTATTCATCCACTCAAGTTCAAATACATTTTTTTAAACTTGTAGTGGATGACACTTGATGTTAATATAATTTTTTCACGTATTAGAATTTTTTTTTAATTGTTAATTAATTTTTTTTTCTTTTTTTCTATTTAAAAAAATTTTTTTGGTTGACCCAAGTAGGAATTGACTTTAAATTTTTTTCTTTAATTAATTATTAATTAATTTTCAGTCATTAGTAAAATACTTTTTATTCATCCACTTAAGTTCAAATACATTTTTTAAACTGTAGTGGATGACACTTGATGTTGATATAATTTTTTCACGTATTAGAATTTTTTTTAATTTTTAATTAATTTTTTTTTTTTTTTTTTGTACTTAAAAAATTTTTTGGGTTGACCCAAGTAGGAAATTGACTTTAAATTTTTTTCTTTAATTAATTATTAATTAATTTTCAGTCATTAGTAAAATACTTTTTATTCATCCACTCAAGTTCAAATACATTTTTTTAAACTTGTAGTGGATGACACTTGATGTTAATACAATTTTTTCACATATTAAAATTTTTCCCCCTATTTAATTTATTTTTTACTTTTAATTTGGGGGGGGGTATTTTTAAAATTTTTCTTTGTTGAACTAAGTAGGAATTGACTTTAAACTTTTTTAAATATTACTTGTTATGCTATAATTTTCGTGAAATTTTTCTAATACTGCTTTATAAAAGAGATTAATTAATTAATTGCTTTTAATACTGAACTACGTGAGTTTAAAACTGTTGATTTTTTAACGTGGCTTTGATTTCTACATATTTAGAGAATTTAAATGCTTAATTTACCTTGCTTTTTCAGTAAACATTTATCAGCTTATTCAAAAATATGAACTATAGAGGTAAAAATATTCCTCATTTCTTCTTGCGCTCACTAAATCTTTATACGAACGTGCATTTAAAGCTTTTAAACTCTTAAAAAGCATGCCTACGATATTATCACCATGCTTTGATTTGTAGGTGCTTTCCCCCCCCCACGATATAATATTAAAAAAATCGTGAAAACCACTAAAAACTTTTGGGCAGGTGCCTTTTTTTTTTTTTTTTTTTTTTTTTTCCCACGATATATTATATTAAAAAAAATCGTGAAAACCATTAAAAACTTTTGGGCATTTTAGTGGTTTTCCTCGTCTGTAACTTGTATATGAGCTAGGTTTTTAGCAAGTCCTCTACGAAGACATCCCTCCCGTTAGGCAGATACCCCTCGAGTGCTTTGCCATAGTTAAATAAACCAAACAAAAGCATTTATGCGACAGTGTTTTAAAACCGTGGAAGTTTTTGAACGGCTTTATTTGCTACCATTAATACCACGATCTTTTAGAACTACGATGCTTTCTGATTACTTTCTTTTCTCCCACGATGTTTTCTTCTTTGTTCTTTCTAAAACAACGGTACCTAGAGCCATCGACTTTTGAATAACGTAATCCTCCTTTGAATATGGGCATCTGGAAGCCCGAATTTGGATTTTGTTTTATTATCGATTTTGTAAAACTTTAACAAATTTTTAATTAATAAACTGAAGGATTTCAAAGTGAGCCATGGCAACGTTGTACAGAAAAAACATTTTTATCTCCAGCGCGCGAGACTGAGTATCGGAAATTCTAAAGCTTTGCTCAGTTTAAAATTATATTGCGATATTACTGTTGAACCGAATTTTATGGTTTAAGTGCGAAGAACATGATATTTAATAAACTCATAAAACGTTTGGGCGTATATATATGTAATAATAAAATTCCAATAGTCAAGAATACACTTAAAATTCTAACTGTTTGTTCTTTTCATTTTTAATGGCGACGATTCTCTTATTTGAAAGTACGTGAAATTAAATCCACAGCATTGAATGCAATTTGACGATGTTTTTGCGTGACATCTGTACGTAAAGACAGAATAAAAGACTCGTTTCCTCCAAAAAAATTATAGAACTGTTTTAAAATGAATTCTGAAGAGAATTTTTCGTGGTGTCTGTACGTACGTATGTATCTCGCATAACTCAAAAACGAGTAGCCTCAGAACGTTGAAATTTTGTATATAGGACTGCTATACATGCAGATGTGCACCACGTATTTTGGTTGCAGTCGGCCACTTCGAACGATATATATAATATATATATATATATCTATTTATATTTATATATATTTTGTAATAATAAATTCCATAGTAAAGAATACACTTAAAATCTAACTGTATGTCTTTTCATTTTAATGGCGACGTTTCTCTTATTTGAAAGTACGTGGAATTAATCCACAGCCCCGTAGTCAAGTTGTTTTTCCCGCCTTTTCTACACGTACAGTTATAGAATGTTCTGGAAATATTTAAAGTGAACTGGATTGGCTGACGAGGCTGACGTCATTTCTTTGAAGCTCCGCCATTTCCAGAGGCTATAAAAGGACTCGCAAAGGAACATCTTGAGCTTTTCTTTAATGCAACGATGCATTAAACTTCATACAAAAAGTTATTAGTAATTCTTTTTATTTACTCTCCGGTAACTATTTCTCCTGAATAAATATAAATGGATCCTGTTTTTTAAACTTATCGTCTGATAATTTAAGCTACGACTACATCTATATTTCTTCAACGATCTATTTATTCTGGACAAAAGCTGATACATCACACACATATATATATATTTGCAAGTTTTCTCATGTTTTTTTTTTTTTTTTTGCAGGTCTCATGAAATATCTTACTAAATTTCGAGTTGCCTACCTGTGGATCAGTTAGACAGCTGTTTGTTTTGGTAAGTACTTTGCAACCAGTGGAGTCTCTTAATTCATAAATGCATAAAATATGTTATCTCGTAGTGTTTTGATGCTCCAGTTTGAGCGCATGATGATTTACGAAACCAGTAGTGCATGTCTTGGTGCTTTTTAGTGGAACGCAGGCAAATCACGTTTTCGTCTGGAAAGGTCACAAACAAACGCAGGACGAGATTCGTGGAAGACCGCAAAGTAGATGATGTCATTTCTTTGTGTCATGAATTTTTTTTTAACCTGTTGGTCGCTATTTTTGTAGGATGGTGATTGGGTGAATTTTTTCTTTCCTTTACGAATCACGTGGGTTTCGAAAACGATTCTTTGACGTTAATTCTGTATTTATTTGTTTAGACTCAGCATCTTAAAAGTTTTTTTTTTTTTAAATTATTATTATTATTTCTTAAATGCACTGTTACAGTTTATTTAAGGTTCGTTTTTTGTGTCTGGTATTTTGCGCGTTTCGGAATGTGTGTTCCATAACAAAAAAAGTGCATTAAGTCAAGATCTCAGAAATAGCTGTTCTTGAGACTTAATGCTAACAATAAAAATCCCCGTCCTTACCGTATAGTGGTTAGAGAAGCCTACTGCGGTACCAGCGGGCCCGGGTTCGAGTCTCCGAGATGGCGTGGCTGTAATTGTTCGTCCGTCTGTATTTACGTACGTATGTCGCATAAGTCAAAAACGAATAGCCTCAGAACTTTGAAAATTTATATATGGAACCAATATAACATGTAGTTGTGCACCACCCTTTTTGATTGCAATTAGTCTCACCGAACGTATGCAAAATATACATAACATATATGCTCACTCCTTCACCCGGCTCTGTGACGTCCGTTTTTTTATTGTTATGTGTTGGTAAATTGTACATTTTTACTTTATAGGTGACTTTATTATGTTGTTCTTATGTTCCGGTTAAGGTTTTTATGCCTTTAGTTAATCTGCATGTAATAGTTTTAGAGTTATCAACAATTTAAAAGTTTAAGTTTCGGTAGGCCTAATGTGGCGGCTGGTTTGTTTACATTTGAAGCTCTTAGTATTATAGTGAATTAAGGCACTTAGTGCACCAACTTTAGAGTCATTTTGCTCTGTGCGACCAGAAGGTAGCTTTTAATGTTTGTGCACCGGTAATTTTGCGACCAAAATAATTCAATCATTTTTAAAGCAAAATATGCACAATTTATCAGCATATAAGAATAATAAAAATTAAAAAAAAAAAAAAAAATGCCGAACTCACGGAGCCAGTTAACAAAGGGTGTATATATATATATATATTTCATGCAGCTTTTCATGCAGCCAATTGCAACCAAAAAGGGAGGTGCACAACTACAAGTTATAATAGTCCTTTATACAAAATTTCAACGTTCTGAGGTTACAAGTTTTTGAGTTATGGTAGCAAAAACATACGTGCGTACAGACATTACGAAAAAAATCTCTTTTGAATTAATTTTAAATTATTTTTCCAACGCGTTTTGGGGGGAAAAGAGTCCTTTATTCTGTCCTTATTTACTGATGTTACACAAAAACATCGTTAAATTGCATTCGATAGCGGTCAAAATGGATCTTTTTCTTGAAATATGATATCCGATATTTTTCGCGATTACAATACTTCCGTTACTTCCACTGTGTTATTAAAAAGTAGTTTTGTTGTATCACAGTTTGCGCGCCACTGTTTCTCCAGCGATTCAGCAGTGGAAATGTCATGCACTGTTTTCTTGTTAAGACTTTATCAGTATCAATTTCAAGATGCGATTCACGAATAAGCAACTGCTAGTAGACAATAATTGATGGGTAATCATCTTGAAATTACTTACAATCAGTTCTTTCAGAGAATTACTCATCACGATCATACTGATTTGAAATTGTTTACTCTAAATTTTGAGTAACTTTTATCGGTTATTACGCGTATGTATCGGCATTTGATGAAACATCAACGTACAAAACAGATAACGCTTATCAGTTCGAACTTTAATCGGTATCATGGATTAAGTTCATCTTTAAGCTTAAAGAGTATTAGATTTTGGCGACTATCTATTTTTTTAAACATTTATCAGTCCATAGGCGCAATTTGCCCAGAAGGGCTATTAATTTCGTTTTGGCATTTTGCGTTGGTTCACTATAAATGTCGGTCCACTTTTCAAATTGTTGCCACCAAATATTAGAGCCCTGTGTTATATTTAAAGAAATTGAATGATGAAGAATCTGCATAAATGTATGTATTTTTCTCGCATTGGGATAAAACAACGGTACCTAGAGCCATCCAATTTTGAATAACGTAATCTTCCACCGAATATAGGCATCTGAAAGCCGTAAATTTGGAATTTGGATCGATTTCATATTTTGTAACGCGTAACGAATTTTGTCGCGCATTTTCCATGCATATCGGAAATCATCGCTTAAAATATTCTTAATAATCTAAATCAGGGTTCTCGAACTTTTCAAATTTTGTACCACATCAATATGAAACAAAAATATATGTATTACCATAAAAGCATTTCGCCATTAAAAATCAATGCAACCTAAATAGAGTGTATATAATCAAAGAATAAAACCCTTTAAATGTTTATTATTTAATTGTATTCGTAAATGAAACTTTTACATTACAATAAAATATAAATAAGTATACTACGAGTGTACTACATAACAATTCTGGTAAATAGTGAGTAATATTACATATATTAAGCAAATAATATAGTTGTACAAAGCAGAGAAGAAAATGGCGAATGTTGTGAAATTTAATCAGTTTTCTTGGCATAGTCGTCATTTTGACATTAAAGCTAGATGTGTTTCTGAATAATAAAGATTAAAACAAAATGTTAAAGGGATGTAATTTTACATTCATTTTGAACATTCATTTAATTTGTTTTGTGTAAAAATGTTCTAATGTGCACTGCGTAAAAAAAAGAAAAGGGGAGACAGTTCTATATCTCCCGTTCTACTGGGCCGATTGACAAAATTCAAATTGCTTTTTTCATGTCTCGAAAGCGCGACATAGGATATATATTGGACTTAGGATAAATTTTGAATAAAAAACTGTAATTGTTTGCAGGTATGCTTAGAAATAAATACATCTAATTTAAGATGATGGTAAAAAAATTATAGATTATAATTCGATTTTTTTTTTTAATTTGTAAAAATTATTTTACAAATTTTATAAATAAATTATACAAAAATGGGTGAATTTTATTTGGAATGCACCTTAATTTCGAAATATGAAAGGAAAAATCAAGCTTAATAAAAAGAGAGAGATTAATAAATATATACCAAATTCAGTTACCATTGAGGAGCTAAAATGTTGAGAGCTAACTTTTTTAAAAACTACTAGTGCGATTTTTAAAATACATGGTAGTTTGGCCTAATTTCAGAGGTAGAATTCAAATATGGAAAAAACGTCGCCATGTTATTGCAGAAAAAGACCGATTTTATGTCAAAATACCTAGTTGCCTTGAACTAAAAAGCATCAGCTTTGTATAAAAACTTTATTGATATTCTAAAACATGAAATATTTAAGAGAAAAATTGCCTGCACCGCAGTGCGGCTAAGAACGTTATTCTACTGAAACATAAACATGAACAACAGTTGCCATTCACACGAACTTAATAGTAAAATAAAGCATGTTGCCAGTAGCAAGATTATTGTAAAAATCATAACGTAAAATTAAACAGTGAGAAAATAAATAAGGCAAAAGAAAAAAAAAATCCAAATATTAAATATACATTCAACAATACCTATATTAGAACAAACAACGTTATATATAAATGTAATACATATCCTAAGTCGCGCTTTCGAGGCATGAAAAATGCAAGTTGAATTTCGTCAATCGACCCAGCAGAACAGGAGTTAAAAAACGGCCCCCCCCCGCATCTTTTTTTTTGGGGGGGGTTGTTGTTTTTGCGCAGTGTTCCACCAGTCGTACATGTACTACAGTTTGAGAAACGGTGATCTAAATAATATGGTCCGTATATACATACTCTCGGCTGTAGTTTTCCCATTAGGCTTAGTGAGAACGTTGGATATAAAAAGGTCTTGGTGATTATTTATCAGCGTTCTCTTCACAATAACTAGACTGCTGAGTTTAAGCAATAACCTACTGATTATTTTGTTAAAGAAAACTGTGCGTGGAGCATTTTGATAACGCAGTATCTTTCCCAAAGAAAACGTAGTCTTACTCAACTTAAAACTTAGCGCCGATTTTATCTCAGCCAACGATAGGAGAGATAATTGAAGACCCCATAAATTTTTGCTCTGCGCTTTTGCTTCCTGTTTGCTTTTTACTGTTTTCGCGATACGTAGGGCAATAAAGCAGCCGGCTTGGCAACCCCCGGTTTCGAAATATCGATAATGCCCCTGCGCAGCGCTGCTATGTATAGCTGACATCTGTACCTTAAAACTTTTTCCGAACTTGGCCCCTCTCCACGAATTTTTTTCCCTCTTCCCCACTCAAAATTTCCTTACGTGAGTACTAGAGTAAGACTTTTTAACAGCCAGCGCATTCTGAAAGCATCCGAGAAATCGCAGCGTTCGTTGGACTCTTTTGGAATTGTTTTTTTTTTTTTAACTTGTGCCCCCTTTTCAGCGTCACAGAAAAGGCAAGTATGACATTGTTTTGTTACGTTCGACGAGTAAAAAATTGTGTACCTAAATTAGCGTTACTTGTGTTCCCAGTTTTTGCTGCTCCCATATAACGTCTTCCCCCCCCCAGGTTTTGATTTGTAAAAATTTTATTCTAATTTGCTTCGCTGAGATATATTTATTTTATTATCATTCAGAAGATAACTTTGTAAAAGCAGCTTACTTTTGAAAAGTAAATTATCTTATCTCTGTGTTGCATGTTAATGTTATCAGTTAAATTTAGTTAAACAGAAATACTCCTTTTTTTAGAAATAACGTAAATCGAGGTAATTTTTATAAATAAATTGTAATGTGGCTTATAAACGTTCATTTGTGATTTCGAAGGTTCATAAATCAAATTCTGTTGTTTTTCGTA